TTGCCGGATCCACTTTCCTCCCTTTCTTGAAGATAGGCCCCATGTTGGCTTTCCAATCATTGGGCACTTCACCAGAGCGCCAGGAATTCTCGAAGATCTGTGACAGGGGCTGAGCTATGATGCTAAGCAGCTTCTTGAATACTCTGGGGTGTAAATTGTCAGGGCTGGCTGACTTGAAGGTGTCCAGCCTCTCAAGCTGTTCCTTCACAAGGTCAGCATTGATGGAGGGCAAGGAACCACCCTCACTTAGGCATCCCTGTGCAGTAATGGGCAGGGGCATCCCATGGGACTTGTGAAAGACTAACGCAAAGTACCCATTTAGAAGTTGGCTTTTTCCTGGGTGTAGGTCGTCAGTTCTCCCTTTTGGTTTAGCAGGGGTCCAGTCCTGCCCTTGCTTTTCTTCTGGCTCCTCACATATCTAAAAAAGGACTTTTTATTGTCCTTGATACTTGTAGCCAGCTGGAGTTCCGTCGCAGCCTTGGCTTTCCTGGTTTGCTCCCTGCAGGTCCAAACCAGTGCAGAGTATTCCTCCTTGGAGGTGGATCCCGTCCTCCATCCTTTGTAGGTCTGTCTTTTTAGATGCAGGAGGATTGCTAGTTACTTGGAGAGCCAGGGGGGCTGCTGTGCCCTCTTGCTGCCTTTCCTCTGAGATGGAATAGCCTTAGCTTGTGCATCTAAGATTGCTCCCTTGAGGAGCAACCACTTTTCCTGGACTCCCCTCCCTTTGAGGTCATGGTCCCTTAGGGCCTGACCGACAAGTCTCCTGAGCTTGTCAAAGTCATCCCTCCTGAAGTCAAGGACCTCTGTACTCCTGACTGACTTGACAGCTTTTCGGCGGATGGTGAAGGTGATTAGTTCATGGTTGCTGTCACCCAGCTTCCCTTCGATCATTATGTTGCTGATTAGGTCGTCCCCGGTTGCCAGTACCAGGTCAAGCAGTGCTTTGCGTCTTGTTGGCCCATAGACTTCTTGAGTCAGAGCTCATCCATGCACGTGAGAAAGCTTTGCGACTGTTTGGATTTGGCTGAGTGCTTTTCCCACGAGATTTCTGGGTAGTTGAAGTCCCCCATGACAGCCATGGACTGGGAGCGTGCAGCCTCATCCAGTTCCTTGGTGAACTCCTGGTCAATCTCTTGATTCTGGGAGGGAGATCTGTAGTAGACTCCTACCATTGTATCTCCTGTGCTGTGTTCCCCATGGATTTTAACCCAGAGGGTCTCTAATCATTCACCCTGGATGCCAGTTGTCTGCTTGTAGGGACGCATAGCTCTCCTAGACATAGAGAGCTACACCTCCACCCCTTTTTGTCCACTTGATTCCTCCTGTACAGGGTACAGCTGTCTATACCTGTGGTCCAGTCATGGGTGGAGTCCCACCAGGTCTCCATTATCCCTATGACATAGTAATTATTTGTGTTGAGCAGGAGGACAAGTTCCTCCTGTTTATTCCCCAAGCTCCTGGCATTGATGTACAGGTATGCAAGTGTCCCCTTGGGGGCCATTCCCTTGCCCACAGCTTGCTCTAGGGCTGGGGCAGGGGTAGGCTTTCTTAAGTGCCTTGGCCTGCTGGCTTTGCAAGGGTTGCTCAGCGGGCCAGCAGTGGCGGTAGTCCCCCTGTCCCCTGGTGGGCTTAGTTTAAAGCCCGATGGAGCAGGTAAGCCAGTCTAGCTGAGCAGAGCCTCCTCCGCAGCAGAGAGGCTAACTTTCCTATTAGTTTGTGTGAAAGTGATCTTTACAATGCAAATTCAGTTATAATTGTCTGTGCTGCAGGGCTGTATACTCCATCCAGCATGCAGTGTCTCTGACTGAAGGCATGTATATAGCTTTTTAAGTATTGCACTGCTGCTGCTAAAATACGTTGCATTTGCTGCATTGAATTTGGGTTTTGTTGTGTTCTACAAATCTCGATTTCCTTAATGTGAAAAAGGTTGCCCTCTGTCAGAAATACATGTTAGAAGATTACTTGGCATGGCTTGAGTGTATTTTGTTATTTTAAGGGGATGCATAAAAAAAGTTAATGAAAAGTAGATATTTGATTTTTATTAGCACTGTTCAGCTATTTCCAGTTTAAAAAGCCACACATCACTTTGTGATCATGACTTAAGTCCTGTACTGTAACTACGTATTTTTAGCTTGTGAGCTGTGATACTGTGGTTATAGGGACCATATAATGACCTAGACATAAATATAGCTACCCATGATCTTATAAATATAGCTACACATAGCGACCAAAACACTGGCTTGCATCCACAGATGCATCTCAAGCAAATTCTGGGACGTCATTCTCCCCTTGTACTCGGCCTTTGTGAGGCCGCAGCTGGAGTACTGCATCCAGTTTTGGGCTCCACAATTCAAAAAGGATGTGGAGAAGCTTGAGAGAGTCCAGAGAAGAGCCACGTGCATGATCAGAGGTCAGGAAAACAGACCTTACGATGACAGGCTGAGAGCCATGGGGCTCTTTAGCCTGGAAAAGTGCAGGCTCAGGGGTGATCTGATGGCCACCTATAAGTTTATCAGGGGTGACCACCAGTATCTGGGGGAACGTTTGTTCACCAGAGCGCCCCAAGGGATGACGAGGTTGAACGGTCATAAACTACTACAAGACTGTTTCAGGCTGGACAAAAGGAAGACTTTCTTTACTGTCCGAGCCCCCAAGGTCTGGAACAGTCTGCCATTGGAGGTGGTTCAAGCACCTACATTGAACACCTTCAAGAGCAAATTGGATGCTTATCTTGCTGGGAACCTATGACCCCAGCTGACTGCCTGCCCTTTGGGCGGGGGGTGGACTCGATGTTCTTCCGAGGTCCCTTCCAGTCCTAATGTCTGTGAAATCTATGAAATCTTCTAGACCAGTGGTGCTTAACCTTCTAGCCCCACAGGCTTGATGAGTGGTGCAGGACCAGTTTGTGGGGTGGATCTAGCCATGGAGTAACCCTGTGCACACTGGATCTGACCCTGAGCACCAGATCAGCCTTGCATATACTAGCTCTGACCCTGCAAGCCAGAGTGACCCCTTGCACATCCAGTCTGGCCCTGTGAGCCAATGCAACTGTCATTTGGTTCATGGGGCTCCC